CAAAGTGGTTCAGTCTATGGTGACAAGAGATTGTAGCAGTTGCTTCTCACTTCTCAGTAAACCAGGAAGCAGAGAGCTCCAGGTGGCATCAGAAGCACACATGACCGTCAAGGCCTGTCCCCTACACCCCACTTCTATAAGCTAAGCCACAAGTCCCAAGGGTTCTGTTGTCAGTGGTCTGGGTGTTTCCAGGTTTGGGGTGTCTTACCCACAAAAACTGAAAAAGCACACATCAATGTCAAGGCCCAAGAAGTTTGATGTAAAGAGATGGCGCTGGATCTAATACAAGGAAACGGTGGGCTACTTGAGCAAGAATGCCACAAAGCAGTGGTTGTTCTTTGGGACTTTCTTCCCATGGGATCCAGGAGAAGGAAGAGTTAGTTGCTAAAGGGCATACTGTGGGCGCTTTGCTTTTGATTGACAGGCTTGGGTTATGTAAGTGCTTATTGTGAATGTCCTTTCCCATGAAGAACCTGATTTTATTCATACACATGCCTAACCAAGCATAGGCATAAGATGGTAAATACAAGTCTAAAAGTTTACCAGAGAACACAATTCGCTTTACTATTTATACCCCCAAGACGAAGGCAGACCAGATTGGCCTTTTGCATCTAGTTCCAGGATATTTTCAATATGTTCCAAGGCACACACGAAATGGACACCAAACGAAAAATGCCAGTCACCCAAGAGTTCCCGAGGCAGAAGTGACCTACTGCCTTGTTTGGAGCAGAAGGTCCATGCAGCTTTATTCAGGTAGGGCTCCCAGGTGCTAAGAGCATGATTAAAAAGGGGGTCTCACTCAGAGTGCCAAGTGGCTAAGTCTTGCCTACATTTGCCTGCTTCAGTTCTACCAACCACTGAAGCAGCTCCACCAGCTAGGGGCCAAGAGTTCAAAGCATAAGCCTGCAGGGACATTCCCCTCAAACCGTGACATCTTTTATGTTCACCTTTGTTTTAGCTCATGATAACCCCATGCTTAGGTAGCATGGCAAAACCAGAACAACCACACCTCTCCCTTTCCTAGCCTGCATCTAATTATTAGCTGCTCTTTCTAAATCTACCTAGACTGTGATCTGATCTCCTATCACCTTGTTTACCCCGCCACCCTGGCCTGTGCCACAAACGCCTCTGCTGGAACTCTAACATACTGGTTTTGTTTCCAACTTTGCTCTCTCCATCCAAACTCAACACAGCAGTTTCTGCTGAAAACAATAAGGACAGCAAATTATTTCCTCCTCTACTCAAAAATCTCCAATTTTCCCCACTTCAACTCAAAGTGAAGGGCAAAGTCCCTATGGCTATTGACAGGGCTTCTGTTACCCCTGCTTAATCTGTGTTCCTTGACACATGAGCCACACTCCCCATACCTGGCCTTTGCTTTAGTGGTCCCCCGTGCCTTGAAAGCTTCCATGGTCTCATCCTCAACCCCTTCTAGTCTTTGTGGGCTGCTACCTTTTCAATGTAGCCTTCCTGCTTTGTCCTCAACATTTTCTGCACCCCCATAACACTGCAAATAACATAAACCTGTAAATAATACTTAGAAATCATTCATGTTTATTGTCTCTCTGCTTCATGTAGAGTGGAGCATGCAGAAGACCAACAACAGAGCTAGATACACATTAGGCACAATGCAACAAGACAGAAGGTTTTTATTTTTGAGACAGGGTTTCTTTATATAGCTCTGGCTGTTTTGGAACTCGCTCTGTAGACCAGGATGGACTCGAACTTACAGAGATCCACCTGCCTTTGCCTCCCAAGTGCTAGGATTAAAGGTGTGCACCACCACCACCCAGCTTATTTTGTCAAGCTATGTAATGTTTACATTGCTGTTTAACTATATTTTATATTCCCAAAATGACTTAATATTTGAAAGTTAAGATTTTTGCATAACTAAAAAGAATGTTTACAAAACCTAGAAGGCACAGAATAGCTACAGCAAACAAAGCCATATTCTATCTTGAAGAAATTACCAGACCTTTGAGTAGCTCTGCCTTGAATTTCATGCTTATTGTTCTCTTGAAGTTTAACTCCTTAAGCCACATGCTCTATATTTGTCCCTTGCTTTTATTATGTTATGTACAGCTGTGGGGGAATCATTTTCACTAATGTATTGCAGTCCACTATGCACATGGGCAATTTATTCTTTCAGTTTACTAATATTATCATGTTAAAGTTATTCTATTATAAGCAACACGATGGATAGTCTGTAGATGACTTCTTGATAGCCTGGTAAAAATAGTTTCTTGATTCTAAGAAATAATGATCACTGGGGCAAAGGGCATGCACGTTTTCTCAATCTCAGTTTTACAGAATAATGTCAAAGGTCGGTCAAGAGCAGTTACAGTGACTCATACTTTAACGAGTCTTTAAGGTCTCATATCTTAACCATGCACGTACCTGATGTGTGTGAACATGCACACTACCATCTGCAAAAGCAGGCCAGAGGACAATTGTGTAAAGTTGTTTAAGGGTGGCTTTGAACGCCCACTCTTGTTGTCTCTATCTTTCCGTGCTAGGACTGCAGGTTTGTACCACAAACCGTCCCTGGTTTATGTGGCACTGGGGTTAAACACTTAGTTTCATCCATGCCAGGGGGCACTCTACTTACTGAGGTAGACCCCAGCAATATTTCATAGGGATAGTAGTTATCTCACCGCAAGCTCCTGAAAAACCTGTTTCTATGGCTCTTCCCATTTCTCCCAAGCTGATTCTGAGTCAGCATTCTCACACCACTTCTATAAACGTGGGTCCTTTGTGAACCCTGCCTCACCTACACAGTTAATCACTTGTGTGCTAATACTATGTTACTTAATCCAAACCTCCCATTTTGTTTCTCATTAGGAATGTTTCTATTAACCCTTTGGTCTTTTGCAGAAAATTTAGAAGTTTTTTTTTTAATTAGAGAAAAACAGAGGATTTTCATTGGCATTGTTTGAACCTTATAATAGATCAGCTGGGAAAAATTACAGTACTGACTTTTGCTCTTCATGTATGTTATTTCTAAATTTCTAAAGTTCTTGAAAAATTCCTAATAAGGCTTTGTCATGTTCTATACAAAGGTCTTGCATACCTATTAGCCTGGTGTTTAGGTAATTGGTTTTTAAAAACATGTTCTTTTGAATGTCATACTCTGACTGTTGCTAAGATATAGAAATGCAGGTGGTGTGTATATTTATCTTAACAAACTATTACCATGTTGCTCATTGGCTCACCAACATATGAGCGTTACTTTCTACATGGTATTTGTTTGCTGTTTTTCTCCTGTTAAAAAGCTTGTCCTTATATTGTGAAAATGTGTGGGTTTTTGTATTTATTTATGTGGGGGCACATGTGGCGGTCAGAGGACAACTTTCAGGAACTGGCTCTCTCCTACAATGTGGTTTCTAAGGACTGACCGCAGGGCATCAGGCTTGGCAGTAGGTGCATACCTGATAAGCCATCTCACTGGCCCAAAGTTCAAAAAGATTTTTAATTTTAAAATGTTTTCATCTAGGGAAATGAATGTGTCTTCTGTGTTGGAATCTGTACTTCCATGCATGTATGTTAAACCAAGCCTATATAACGGTTCTGGAAAAACGGTTTTTGAGACCTGTGATCACTACATAGTCTGAGCTGACCTTACTATCATCCTTCCTTGGCCTCCAAGTGTTGGGATTAAAGCCAGTAGCACCAGACTTGGTTTCAGAAATAAGTTCCGTTTCACACCTAATTTCATTTCAAGACCATGATTTTGATGAATATCAACTTAATTGAGAATTAGTTTCAAGATAATAAATACAGAACCACATTAGCCTGAGAATATATGACCTTTATCTCAGAGCAGGACGGGATGGTCAGATGACAAGCTGGCCAAATTCCACACGGACTGGACTAACCACTGAAATTAAACTTTGATCTGCTTTAGTCTGTTTAAAACACAAAGCACAAGTGTCAACTGTTCCTTATTTCACCTCTACACAGATATGTCAATGCTCAAGCCCCTCTCCCCTGCATTACTTCATACTTCAAGATTTCCTTACCAAGACAAATGGGACCGGGCAAATTATAAGAAAGAAATTTTGGTTTCAGAATTTGTGTTACAGTTAAATTCCCAGAGAAAAAAGTGACACACAATTGACTGGGACCATCATAAAATCATATAAAATGGTTTTATAGTGGAACCATATAAAAATGAAAAATTATTTATTGCAAAACGTCAGATTAAAGTGAGATTCACTTGCCAGTGGGGATAGGCACCCTCAGGGTCATCTCATCCAATTTAATTCCCTTCTTCCAAGAACTTGGGCCTAAAGTGCTTCAAGTGGTGTTATTAACCTAGCCTCAAGTGACTACGGTTAATTAAAATGGCACCAGTCTTCCAGAAAATTATCTTCAGATTGTAGCACAAAAGGTCACAGGAAGCACTTATTTCTCCAAGTGTCCAGCTTCATCCATCTCAGTGAATTAGGCAAATGATTTTAGTCCTTAACAAGATTGCATTGCATAATGGATACTGCCTCTACTACTGCCTTCTAATTCAGACTAGCCTGGGATTCAAGGAGAAGCCATACAGGAGAAGCGTCCTTGCAGGGAAACCAATCGCGACTGGGCAAATGAGAAACCCACCCAGGGCTCAAAGAAGAAAAGCACCAAGCACAGACTGAAGGCGAAGGCTATGATAGATACCTGTATTGAGTAACAGTCAGCACAGCCCGGGGCTCTGCCCCAAAGCCAGGCAAATGCTGATTCAGATAGGCTTCCAGGGACCTGACGTCGAACTTGTGCTGGGGCAGCACTTCCACGGTGTCACTGGTGACATCCATCTCCATGATTGCCACTGCAGTCACAGGGTACAGAGAAGCAGAATCCACAGACAACGCAGTGGCAGCCAGGAGGCAGGAACTACACTTAGAGTTTAGAGGCGGGGCCAGGGCGGGGCTTAGCGGAAGCCAATCACCGTTAGGGCGCCGTTGCTAAGCAGTGTGGGCGGCTGAATCTAGTGACTTGGGGTCTGGAGGAGAATGAAGGAAGCGCCTGCTCTGGGCCCCAACTGAGAATTTTCTATCAGCGTCAGAGCTGCAGGCCTCGATTTTATGGAAAAATAAGGTCACAAACGTCACTCGGGGGAGATCCTCCACTCTAGATTACTGACGCACCAGGCGGAAACCCTGTGAGGTCCGGTTAAGAAGAGGGTCCCCCACGACCTTGGGGTCCCGGAGTAAAGGCCTCGGTGTTCCTCATGGCCTCCTAGATTAGAAAGACAGAATCGCTGTCGGCCTGATCTGGACACTCAAGAGCGCTGGCCCTGCCGCGACGTGGTTTAGCGGTTCTAGAGGAGAACTGCAAGTGTTTTGAGGACTGTTTTGCCTGGGGGAGCCATGGCGGCTGCGCACCGGAAGCGGCGCGCCGGAAGGCCGACGGACGTGGCGGAGACGTGTCTTACTGGGATGCCTGCAGGCTCTTTCTCGGCTGTCGGGACCCGGAAGGCTGTGCGTAGTCCACCTGCACTTCGTGGGCCCAGCGGAGCAGCGTGGGGCGGCGGCGGCGGAGGCCCAGGCTGGCAGCGGCGGCTGCCGGGGGCCCAGCCATGGCCGAGACGGTGGAGCGGTTGCGGCAGCGGGTTGAAGAGCTGGAACAAGAACTCTCCCGGGAGAGAAGCCGGCAGGTCGTGGGCGGCCGGACCCGCATCGAGAAGATGAGCTCCGAGGTGGTGGACTCCAATCCCTACAGGTGATCCGTGACGGGGCGGGCAGGGCCACGCTCCTCTTGCGGGGAACAGCAGGCCACCTGCGGCACCTTTCTTGCTGTGGCGGTCCTGTCCCTAGATGGGCAAGGCCGCGTTTTAGCGCTAGTCAGAAGATAATCCTTGCCGAGCGTAGTGGCTCGCGATTCATTCCAGCATTCGGGAGGGTGAGGTAGTGGGGTTGTCGCGAGTTCCAGGCCGGCCTGGGCCGTATCGTGAGACCCTTTCTCCTGCAAAGAGAATCCAAGGCAGGCATCCATATGGTTCAGCTGTTGTGCCCGCTGTCCAGTGCCCAGTTTTCTCTCACCCTTGACTCTTTATTAGTCTACCTCGCTTTGCATAAGGCTGATTGCTAGCGAGCTCTGTCAGAACATGACATCTTACGTAAAGCTGCCAAGGCTAAATTACAGTTACTGAAAGACCTTTCAGTATAACTTAGATGAGGCAGGGCGAGGGAGAGTTGGTTACTAGGGGGCTCAGAAACATCTTTGACTATCGACTTTGCTAGGCCTGCTTACTTCTGTCCCTAAAGGACTTTCTAGTTTATGAGGGAGAATACAGAGCAATGGTTAAGGGGAAGAAGGTCTCAGCATCACGACGGAATGAATTCATTTTTCAGCATACCAAATAGCCAGTAACTTGTAACAGCTGCTAAGCTGCTTCAGATTCCTTACTGTGAAGTGGGACCATAAGAATGCCCGTTTCTGTCATAGTTCTGAAGACTGAAACAGTCAGTTTACGTGAAGTTCTTAAAACAGCAGTTGTACATGGCAAGCCTCGTACAAGACTGCATTCAGGAGCAGGCAGGTAGACCTTTGGGTTACATATGTTTTTCTTCTCACTGTAGCCCTGTGGGATTGCTGTGATTTCGAGCTCATTCTGTAGGTGAGAGAAGTGAGAGTTAGAGAGCTCCTTTAGATAGATTATAGTAGAGAATAGGATCTGGGTGCGTTAGGTTTCTCCCCCATAAGTCTGTAAGCCTGTAAGTAGTGCGGATAGAAACTGGGTGGTTTTAAAGTAAGTGAAGTTCTAGAAAGAGAGCAATGTGTGCAGTGGGTCTAGAGACACTCTCAGGTGCTGACGTCGGAAACTCGTGCAGGTGAATGTGTGCAGAGGCGTGTTAGAGACCTGCTGGGGCTAGGCTAAGTGAAAGCACCTAGGAGAGCAGGCATCAGGAACACACACTTGCTGCCTTGAGGACTGGAGGCTAGGGAGGCAAGGGAGAGTTCTAAAGCAGCCACCCAGCCGTGAACACTTATGATCTAGCCAAGAAGGCCAAGGCTGAAGGGGTGGGAAGTGTTTGGTAGCAGGAATGGACATTTACGAGTGAAATCTTCAGAAGACTGAAAAGCAAGCAGGGAAAAATACTGCAGTAGTATGCATTTATAGACACGGTCACATGGAGCTGAAAGTGGGAAGAAGGGGCCAGCCAGAGGACTGCTGACTTTCTAACAGCCCTAGATCCACCCCTGCCATCAGGAACAAACTATATAACACATTTTATGTACATAATATATGTGTACACAATATACACACGCACAGAGTACACACACACACACTTAGGTAATAGACCAGATGAGCAGTGGCTGAAGTGCTTAGAATCCTTGGGATACAACAGATGTTTCCAAAAGTAGACATCATCCATCATGAACAGAGACCATGGGCTTATTTCACTTGCTATATACTCATACAGCACGGGAAAATTATAACATTTCATGTTGTCCTTCAACAATTAAACTATTAGGTGTAGATCTTGTGTATACATTAGGATAAAGAATATTTTTTAGAAGAAAAATGTTTCACAGGCTACACCCAGGAAAGTCCATGTTTTTAAACCTACCGACTGGTTTATTCCTACCTAGTAAAAGTTAGCTTTTAAGGTCACAGAGATCTGTTTCTTGGTATTAAAGGTGTGTGCCACCACTGCCTGGCCTCTAAGGCTAATAACTAGTGGTTTAGCTTTGATCTTCAGGCAAGCTTTATTTGCTAGAGCACAAACAAAATATCACTACAGTGTGGGGCTGGAGAGATGGCTCTGGTTAAGAGCACTGACTGCTCTTCTACAGGATCCTGGTTTGATCCCCAGCACCAACAGGGAAGTTCACCATCCTTAACTCTAGTCCCCAGGGTATCTGATGCCCTCTTCTGGCCTCTGCAGGCACTGCATGTACCTTCAGTACTGCATGTATACATACATATAAGCACATACTGGCAAATTACTCATACATATGACAAATACAAATAAAAAGGACTGCAAGAGCTCTGAACCTCTTCTTTTTTTCTTGAAGCCGTCTGATGGCGTTGAAGCGGATGGGGATTGTCGGTGACTATGAGGTATGCTAAACCTTTCCCAGCCTCTGAACGCGATCGCAGTGGATGAGAATAATTTCTGGCGAATAATCAAATGAAGAGCAGTAACGAGTACACGTATCATTTTGTGTTCACAGAAAATTCGTACTTACACTGTAGCAATAGTAGGTGTTGGCGGAGTTGGCAGTGTGACTGCCGAAATGCTGACAAGATGTGGCATTGGTAAGGTAAAAAGACTTCTCTTTGCCTGTCCAGTAGGGAACTGTTACCCCTGCAGCAAATCAGGTACAAGTTAGCGCTCTTCTGCTCAATCAGTGCTTTGTTGATTTCTGTTTGTTTATGGAATAGCTCTTCTCAAGAGGCTGAGTCATAGCCCTCTCCAAACAAAGGCTCATGTTATTGCTAGTTAAACAAAGGGCATTTAATTGTGTTCAGGAACTTTTGTTTAGGGTAGTGTAATTAATTTGGAATTATTTTAGATACAGGACCTGTTAGAAATGGTTCAGGGGTGCCCCCACTAATAGATTCCTAGTATTTTAGCAAGGCAAAAATTTTACTTCTGCTGGAGGGTGTATAGCTGTGCCAAGTCAAGCAGTTAGGCTCACCCAGTGGGGGTTCTGCTGGGTTTTTATTCCTAATGTAAGGGCTCCTGTGCCCCACTCTGAGTGGTCAGAGTTCAGCCCCACACTCTTACATAGCTGACTAACTCCAGATAGCACAGCAGATGAGCACAGTACAACTTTTGGGAACAGGATACAACCTTGAGCATGTATTGATTTCAAGAAGTGCTGACTCTGGAGAAATTTGAATTTCTGCCAAGTGACCACTTTACAATATTTTTTTAAAGTTCTTATTATTTTTTATATATCCTCTCATACAATACGTCCTGACTGCAGCCTCCCCTTCTTCACTCCTCCAAGTCCCCCTGACACACAACAGTTTTTTAAAAACAGTGTTGTCTTATTTGACCTTTGATACAAAAGACTGTAGGACATTTAAGTGGATAAAAAGTGCAGATGAAGTGCTCGGCTAAACACAGAGTGGAAAGCACTGAATTTGAACTGGGGATGTTTTAGATTTTTTTTTTTATTTAGCCCATTTTGTTTTCTTTTAAAAACAGACTCGAATTGTAGAACCTTTTGGCCAGAATTTGATTTCAGTCTTAGGTGTCTAAAGCCAAGGACTATTGATATTACTTAGTTGAATAGAGAAGTTTTCCACAGTTATCTGCCCTATGTTATTTCCATAAAACATGCATTCTCCAATATCTTCGTTAATAACTTAATATTAACGATATCAGTTGCAGAATTGGCCCTCGTTTATCAATATAAAAATGATGCCAACAAAATACTTAAAATGCTTATTATAATCTTAATATCTTTGAAGTGGTTTATAGAAGCAGGCCAAAATATTGCTTTCTGATGGCTTGAGTACCTGGTTGATTGGTGGGATGCTGGAGATGCCGAGGTCAGTGGCAGCCATGTTAGAGCAGACTAACAGACCTGTTCTGTGGTTTTAGTCCTGCAGGTGTCAGAGCTTGAGACCTGCCATGCTGATTTCCAGGCAATCCCGACAGTGCAGAAACTTAACACTGAGAACCACTGGGGCCTTGCCTGGGCATTTGTTAGGAAGGCAGGCTTAAGGTGTAGCGCATACAGCTGATCAGAATCCGTCTGTTAGTAGACGCTGCACGTTAGTCTTGAGGAAGTGCTCTTTGCCCCAGTAATGGCGTCAGGTGGTGCAGAAGCTGCTAGATGAGGCCACAGCAGTCACTCCCGAGGACTGCTGTAATGAGAATCACCGGGAGGACTTGGCTAGCGCCATGTCCAGTTATTCCCATGATAGGCAGTTAGGAATTCTGGCAGTGAGATGCAGACACCTGTGTTTCCACTAACTCTTCTGGTGATCCCACTGTATTCCCAGGTTTGTAAACCAGACTAAACAGTTAAGTTTCAGAATTCTTTCTCCTTTCTATAAAACGAATAAGCCAGAAGCTAATTGATTAAGTTTGGGGAAAATGGTGCCTAGAAAACCCAGAGCCCATTTCTTATCTCTGCAGGTAGCTGCAGTTCCCTGGATGACTAAGTCTGCATCAGCGGCTTTGCTTTCCAGAAAGTTGACCTAAGCCAAGTAGCGACAGTGTTACAGTGTCCACTTTTTTCACAAAGCCAAATAGAGCCACAAACTCAGATTTAGTACTCTGTCTCACCTACTAAATATTATTGAATGAGCCATAGTTTAGGGACTTTGGAGTTATCAAGGGCCTAAGTGGTATCTTTGCTAGCAAGATACTAAGGTTCTCTTGGTATTGTCATAGGCTTTTGTTTGTTTGTTTTAAGTTTCTGTATTGAGAAGAATAAACTCAGGTCTGGGGATATAGCTTTGTGGTAGAGAAGTTACCTAGCATGGATTTGGTCACAGGTTCAATCCCCAGCACTGACCAAAAAAAAAAAAAAAAAAAAATCTGACCTCTTCATACTGAAGAGAAACGTGATCTGCTCATTTTAGGTGATGTGTGTACAGTGGCAAACACTGAAGTAGACAAGAAGAAAGCAGGAACCAGGCAGTGGTGGTACACATCTTTAATCCCAGCACCTGGGAGGCAGAGGCAGGCAGATCTCTGTGAGTTCGAGACCAGGCTGGTCTACAAGAGCTAGTTCCAGGAAAGGCTCCAAAAAAGCTACAGAGAAACCCTGTCTCAAAAAAAAAAAAAAAAAAAAAAAAAAAAAAAAAAAAAAAAGAATAAAACAGGAAAGAATAATTAGCTGGTTGCTAATTCTCTTTGGTAAGGATTTTTAGCCTCAGCTTGGTTGTGTGGTGTGCTATACAAAGGGAGTCAAGGAAATGGAGCAGGGTTCCCTTTCTTACTGTGCCGGTCTGTAGAAGCAGCACAGCGTGGGGTCGGGGAGAGCCCTGCATCAGCTGAGCGCTGTTGAGCAAGGCCCAGCCGCCTGGTCACTGAGCTGAGGATAGAAGATGCTGTGCATTTTTCCTCACAGGACATTTAGTAAATCTCTGTAAGGCACCGGGTGCCTTAGAATTAACTAATGTTATTACACCGCCACCATTAAGCCTATCAAATGGAAAATCCACTAGTTTCATGTCATTTTTCACTGAAATACCACTGTTTTCATTTTAGTTACTGCTTTTTGACTATGACAAGGTGGAACTGGCCAACATGAATCGACTTTTCTTCCAGCCTCATCAAGCAGGACTGAGTAAAGTTGAAGCTGCAGAACACACCTTGAGGTAATCATAGTTGCAGCAGAGGGCCGCACGCAGTGGGGTCTTGTTAGAAAATGAATTTTTTACTTACTCTGAAAAAGATTTCCCCCCAAGCATTTAAGAATTGTTTAGTGGCATATGGCGGCCATGCTGCACATTCCAGCACACAGGAAGTTGAGGCCATGTGAGGAGTGGTGCAAATTTGAGGACAGCCTGTGCTGGAGAGCAAGTACTGGGCCAACCAGGGCTGCATGGCAAGGCATAGACTCAACAAAAACCCAAGCCAGGCTATTCTTAAAGGCCATACCAAACTGGATAGTGGCCAGATTTGGCTCATACGCTGTGATTTGCAAATCCCAAACATTCTTGGACTAAACTGAAAAAGACATAAAGAAACTCTCAGACTGTACTGGGGGCTAAGGCTTTGTTCCCAGCACAGAGGTTGTTCTGGGTTAGAATGGGAGCATTCTTGAAATCTTTTATGAGACGTCCATATTAGGGAGTCCAACATTGGCCTTGAGCAGGGCATAGTCACAAGTGCAGTGTAGAGCTGCTCTCGTAGCTCGTCTGCAGCAGCTGCAGCACGTGGGCAGAGGGCTGGACCTAAACGATGCACGTGTTTTCATCCAGGAAGTGCAACAACGGCAGTAGAGGACGACATTTTTAAATCCTCCTCGCTGCCTCAGCCCTCTCCTCTGCTTTTCCTTTGTTTATATGTCAGAAACAGCACCGGGCACTGGCCGTCTGCAGATGTGTGCAGGTGTGTCACCGGGCACTGGCCATCTGCAGATGGTGTGCTGGTGTGTCACCCTAGCCCGCCTGTCCTCACATTGGCAGATAGAAGCCTTTTCTGTCCTTCCGTCCTCTTCTTACTAGGAGGGTTTGTAATATTTGCTTTTCCCTCTCAGGAACATTAACCCTGATGTCGCATTTGAAGTTCACAACTACAATATCACCACCGTGGAGCACTTTGAGCACTTCATGAGCAGAATAAGGTGAAATTTGTGAAGGTTTTGTGTAACGTCCTGATGTTCAGCTCAGTTAAACAAAGGCTAGAAAAATCTATTGACAATTTTTTTCAGCTTTAGGAAAAGTAATTTTTATGTAACATTTATGTATTAGACTGCAGTCTACACACAAACATATATGTTCCAAAAACTAAAATTGGGGGAAAAATCCCTCTGAAATGACAGTGATTCAACAGGCGGCCCTCAGCTTTGTGTTCTGTGCTCTAAAGTCATTGTCTTCAGTCTGTTGGGACTCCTGAAGTAATTGATTCAATTAGCTTTACTCTGTGTATGTTTGTAGGGAAGCCTGAACAAGGCAGTGAAACTCCCTGAGTTCAGTGGCACAGGCCTATAATCTCATCATAAGTTCGAGGCTAACCTGGCCAACCTAGACCCTTTCTCAAAACTATAAAAAAATAAAATAGCCCTCTATGTATCTCACAGGGCACTTACTTGGCATGCCTGAGGCCCTGACTTCTGACCCAACAGGACTAAAAAACTGGACCAAAACAAATATCTGTGTGAGAACCCACAGGGAGATGACAGCCCCGTGAATAGACTTCATGCTTCCTTTACTAGTAATGGAGTCATTAATACTCTAACCTTTATGTGAGGTCATTAACATTAAATACTATGCTATAATTGTGTTCAAACATTTAAGGAAAGAAAACCGACTGCACAAATAAAATTAATTGGTGTGTTTTGTGTTTCACTGGGTGTGGTAGTAAACACCTGTCAATCCAGCCCTTGGGAGGCGGAAACAGGAGGATCTCAGTTTGAGATCTTGCTTCAAGCAGCAGTGGGGGTTATATGGGCCATGGGATTTGGGTTTGCCTCTGGTTGTTTTTTGAGGTGGGATCTCTTACTGTATGAATGGTGAAACCAGTGACAGTCTTTCTGCCTCAGCCTCAAGTGCTAGGCCTGCAGGTGTGGCCACCAACCCTTAGAACAAAAGAAATGTATTTTGTATCCTCCGCGTTTTTTAAATACAGTTTACTTTCCTTCTCTAGTAATGGTGGCTTAGAAGACGGAAAGCCTGTTGACCTAGTTCTTAGCTGTGTGGACAACTTTGAAGCTCGGATGGCCATCAATACAGTGAGTGTTACAGAAGGGGTCGCAGCCCTGGCTCTAACCTGAGTGTTCTAGCTGAGTGTAGTTCTAGGTTTAAACTCTGCACAGCCTGCTTTAAAATGTGTGATGAGAGCTTCTGGCCTGGCCTCTGATGTGTTACAATGTCTCATTCTCCTGTGTATAAAGTAGCAGATGTTTCTGCTGTGTGGTTTTAAAGTAGATGACTATTTTATGATGCTTGTTCTAGTCACCACTGGGTTTTCATTACATTCAGAGTGTGTGCATGTGTGTGTGTGTTTGTGCATGTGTGTGCGCGTACCACCATATTCCTGTGAAGGTCAGAGGACAACTTGCAGAGGGCATCTCTCTGGGATGAGACCGTGTGTGACCTAGGAATTAAATTCAGGTCATGAGCCTTAGAGATAAGCATCTTTCCCAGCGGAGCCATCCTGCCCGCTCTCCATTGGTTTTCACTTTCTGTCTTACTAGGATTAAATATATAAATTGAAAACATTTCCCAAAGATAAAATACTTTTCCTTTGAATCACTTTTAAATGATTCTTATGATTTTTTTATTGAAGATTTAGAAAAGTAAGTTTTTCTGTTAATCTGGAGAAATCTAGGAAGCAGTGGTTCAGTGTAAGGAATGGAGCAGCCTGTGTGTGGAATATGGACGCTGTATCTCAATTATTGCAGCTCTTCTCTTGGACCACGAAGCCTCAGGATCCGTTTAGATAACACCTGATAGTCCACAGAGGAGGATGGCAGTAATTCGTGCTGTTTTGTGTTTTCCCCTTTTCCTGTTAAGGCTTGTAATGAACTTGGTCAGACGTGGATGGAATCTGGGGTCAGTGAAAATGCAGTTTCCGGGCACATCCAGCTCATGATCCCCGGAGAGTCGGCGTGTTTTGCGGTAGGCATTGTCACGGCTCACTGTCGCTGGTGGACATCAGTGATCTCCCGTAACTGGTGTCTAAGTCAGGGGAGCAAAGGACTGTGCTGGGTACTCTCTGGAGCATTTCGATTGTTTTACTCTATTTCGTTTGTAATTGTTGTCTTCTTTCTCATGTAGTGTGCGCCACCGCTTGTAGTTGCTGCAAATATTGATGAAAAGACCCTGAAACGAGAAGGCGTCTGCGCAGCCAGTCTCCCCACCACCATGGGAGTGGTTGCAGGCATCTTGGTTCAAAATGTATTAAAGTAAGTAAGGGCTGATTTTTCTGAATAGTGTTGTATGCTTTTGATTAAAATGTATTTCATAAAATACTCTAAGAATTGATATTGTCAACTAAGTAGTTATCTTATACTTAAATTTTTTTTAAGTATATCATACATACATGGACTTTTATGTGTGTGTGTGTGCACGCGCGCGCGTGCATGCGCTCGTGCACATTCATGTATGTATGTATGTTAGTATGTGCACGCATACATGTTTATTTAAATGTCAGTTACTTCCTGCATTTGGAATAACTTTTAAAAAAATGATACAGAATATTCTATATACCCGGAGCATTGGGAGAACAACACTGGGCAAGAGGGCTAAATTATGAGAATGTACCATTAGGTATTTTGGTATGCATACATTCATGATTGTGTGTACAGGAATGCACTTGTACTGCTTGTGGGACAGTCAGTAGATGGCCTCAGTCGGTAGTCCTCGCCTTCCACAATGTTTGAGGTGGGGTCCTGCTTGCACCAGGATAGTTGGCCTGTGAGCTTGCAGGGACTTTCCTGGATGCCTCCCATCTTGTAGAAGCACTGGAATTACAGTCACACACAACTGGCAAGCTTTTACGTGGATGCTGGGGATCTGAACTCAGGTCCTCATGTTTGCACGGCAAACCCTTTGCTCATTGAACCATCTCCCCAGCTTTCATTCAGTTTTATGCACAATCTTCTATACCGAAGCTGTCATAGAGTTTCTGTTACTGTGATAAAACACCATCACAAAAACAACTCATGAAGGAAGGGATTTATTTAGCTTACACTTCCACATCTTCATCCATTATTGAAGGAACTTAGGGCAGGAATTCAAGGAAGCTGGAGCAGGAACTGAAGCAGTGGCTGTGGAGAAGTTCTGCTTGCTTCCTTGTTCCCCACTGCTTACTTAACCTACTTTTAATACAGTCCAGGGCCACCTGCCTAGAAGTGTCACCACCCATAGTAAGCTGGACACTCCTACATTAATCATTGATCACAAAACTGCCCCCACAGACTTGTCTACAGACCTATGTGATGGAGGCGTTTTCTCTTCCCAGATGATCCAGGTTATGTTAAGTTGTCAAAAACCCAACCAAGACAGAAGCTTTTCTCTAGAATGTCGTTTGACAGGGAGGGGTCACAAGGGAGCTCCATGGGTGTTGGAAATGCTCTTTGACTTACATCAGTGACTAAGTTTAGCTTTACGTTTACTGCATTTAAAATTGCATAGTTGATAGTAATACCAGTTTTTAAAATTAGATTTAGCATGACACAAATTTTTGTCTGTGTGTGCAGGGGGCTATGCACGTGTGCACATGTGTATGAAGTATGCTTTTTTGTGCATCCATGTGTGAAGGCAGAGGGCACTGTTGTCTTCCTCTATTTCTTTACCTTTAAAATGACTTTTACTGACCTCACTGATGCCAGTCTCATGCATGTAGGAAGTGCGGTCTGATGCTGTAGCCTCCTCTCCGTTTTCTCTGTTCTCCTTCTCTGTCACCCTACACATCTCCTCGCATCCATGGCTTTGTTGTTATTTAGCCAGGGTCTGTACAGCCATGGGTTTGGAACGTCTGCTGCTGCCTGGTGGGCACTCAGTGGGTACGCAGCTGAAGACAACGACTACCCTTCCTCAGAACCCACCCGTAGACAGCAGTTCAGCAGGGAAGAGGGATAGGCCCATCAGCCCTCCCTGGCCCATGACTCACTGTTGGTATTGTGTAGACCCATTGCAAACAGCCATAGCTGCTGTGGGTGCCCTGCCCAGCAGACAGCATTTTCAGCCCTTCTCCCTGTCTCCTGCAGTGTTCCCTGAGCAGTATGGAGCGGTATAAATGGCCTACTTAGGACTGAGCAATCAGCCTTCACTTTTATCCTCAGCACCGTGACCAGCTCTGTGTCTGTATTCAGTGTTGTTCATTGCAGAGAGGCTTTTCCCAGGAAGGTTGGGGAGCATCTGTCTATGGGTATAAGCTTAAATACTTAGAAGACAGTCTGCTGCCTAGGCTACCTAAACAGCAGTAGTAATCTGCCCATAGGGCCTAAGACTTTAACCACAGGTTTCTGACTACATTTATGGTAGTAGGTTTGAATTCCCTTTTGTGGAGCAGGCCTCAAATCCAGTCAGTGAGGGGGTGGTTCTCACCCACACCTCTGCCAACAGCAGTGCCATCACCTCACCCGTGGGCCCATCTTGCCTGGCAGGGTAGTATTATTGAATGTAGGGATTGCAACTAGGTAAGGCAATTGGTGCCTTTTCTTCCACAGGGGCCTGTAGAGCACCTTCTGGCACTACAAAAGCTAGCCAATGGGAAGAGGCTCAGCTCACTTCCAGCTGCATTCTCTATGCCTTGCACTGAAGGTGTGTTCCATGTTATTTCTGAGACAGGGTATCTTACTATCTAGGACTCAGCATTTTGGCTACACTGGCTGTACAGCAAATCCCTGAGATCTGCCTGTCTCTACCCCTCCCCATCTCAGTCTGGGATTACAAGCTCATGGTGCCATGGCTGCCTTCTTATTGGCTGCTGGGGACCCAGACCTGGACTCCCAGGCTTCCATAGCAAGTCCTTTATCCACTGAACCATCTCCCAAGCCCCGATAACTCAGGTTTAAAAACACATCTCTCATGCTGCAGTTTCCCTGAGATCCGTGTGCTGCTCTGTGGTTTAGCTGCCATACTTTACTCACCAGCAGTTTATCTTTAGAGGCTCAAAGATAATAGCTCATTATCCGTGATGGGAAGTAGTACCCTTGCCTTTCCTTCTTCACTCCGCAATCACTCAAGCAGCCACTGTGAGCCGAGTTTTATAAATAAGGTGGAGAAAGTTGCTGTTTCCTAGGTTGTTTGTTAGAAAACTCATTATCTACTCCAAAGTGTTTTGTAGAAATTCACTGACTTCTAGTACTTTTTTTTTCTTTATTAAGTATAATTTGATTTTCTTTTTTCTTTTGTGTTTTAAGATGTGGTTTCACTATATACCCCTGGCTGGCCTGGAACTCACAGAGACGTGCCTGCTTCTCCCTCCCAAATGCTGGGATTAAAGGTATGCCCCACCATGCCTCGCTAATTTGATTTTCTTTTCCAGGTTTCTGTTAAATTTTGGCACTGTCAGTTTTTACCTTGGATACAATGCAATGCAGGATTTTTTCCCTACCATGTCCATGAAGCCAAACCCTCAGTGTGATGACAGAAACTGCAGGAAGCAACAAGAAGAATACAAGGTATACACAACCAATTGATTGGTTAGGAAGTTTGAGGATCACATTGCAAGGCCAGTAACTTTGAAAAGAAACAGATTCGCAATATAATATAAATGGTTCTGCATTTTTATAGTTTTATAGTTAATTTCTCATACTTCAGAACAACACCCATTCTTGCTTTTGGTAAGATAAAAGTGAATTCTTGTGGAGTGCTGCTGCAGAGAGCTGAGAAGAAATCCCGGTGTTTGGTGCTGTTTGTTTTCTACAGAAGAGGGCCGTGGCCCTGCCCACACAGGAGGCTGTACCCACGGAGGAGGAGGAGATAGTCCACGAAGACAACGAGTGGGGTAGGAAGCCTTCGTGCCCCAGCCTCACTGTGGAAGCACACTCTTTGCTGGGAGGGAGAATAAGACTACGCAACATTTCAGATAATTCTTAGACTGTTTTCTGCGGGGATGGGGTGGGGTGGGTTGTAAGAGTACACAGAGATATAAGTGATTCGTAGAGTTTCTTGAGAATGAGCACAGGTCACATTTAATCCTCCAGGTATTGAGCTGGTGTCGGAGGTTTCAGAAGAGGAACTGAAGAACTCTTCAGGTCCCATTCCCACCTTACCTGAAGGAATCACAGTGGCATACACAGTCCCAAAGAAGGTATTTACCCTGATATGTAAATATCAGACAAGAGAAAATACGTATCTTCCTTCAGCTTCATCTTACATCGGAAGGCTATTGAGGTGCAGTCAGCCTTGAGGTGCTGAGAAGTACTCTTGTCGCCAAGGAGACAGGCACAGCTCATTGGAAACTGAGAAAGTAGAGTCTTTGAAAAATCCACGGATGTATCCAATATAATAGATTTAGTTTAAATTAAAATATTACTTTCACATCCTGATAATTTTAGCCACAAATCCATGGAAAATTCCTTTGGAAAAGGGTGACAGTGTGCGCCTGTGGCCCTGCATGTAAGCGGCTGCAGCAGGCAACGGTTTGCAGTTGGAGATGCACCTGGGTGTGTAATAAGACCTGGAAGTGGAGGTCATGGGTAGGGAGGCGAGAAAGAGAGCAGGCACACAAGTAAACCTACAGAAATACAGACAGAGCCGGGGCTGGGCTCACCAGGCAAAAGATAGACAGCTAGGCAGTCGTTACTGAAAAGTTGCTGAACATTATTAATATCAGGGCACGCAGATGAAAACAGTGAGGTGCATGCCCCTCCGAGGGGAAAGGTCAGTGCTGGCAAGGATGTGCGCAGAGGGAGCCGGGATGTAGCAATGCACTGCCATCAGGAATGGAAAGCAGTGCCTCTGGTTTGTAAACAGAATGGCGGAGGCTCCTCAAGAAGTTAAAAGAATTACCGTATATGTGATGTATGTGAGCCAGTGATCTCATGGGCGGTATGTATCTAAAGTATATATAGCCAAAATGCCCACCGATGAATAAAAGATGTGCACACACACAATGAAACACTATTGAGCCATAAGAGGATGGGCAACCTGTCACTTGTGAAAAGACAGATGGAACTAGACGTAATTAAGTAAAATAAGAGTGGCACAGATGGACAGACACGTGATCTCACTCGTGTGTTACAGAAGTCGAGAGTGGAGTAATGCTTCTGGTGAGTGGGGGAGGAGGGAGGAAGGCTGGCCAGCAGCTTGTAGGTTACAGCTTTCTAGGAACATTAAGCTCTGGTGCCTGTCCAGAAGGGTAGCTGCAGGTAGTCATTGTTGTATGTTAAGTAGAAGGAGTGATTTTTGAATGTTCTCATTACAAAGAAATGGTTATTCTGGCGAACATCACACAGTATATACATGTACCATAACTTTATGGTCTACTATATATAACAGTAATTTTATATTAAAAATGCGCTCAATAGGAATGTCAAGAATATTGACATTGCTGCCTCCTGAACAAAATTTTGGTGAGGAATATAAAGAACTGCATTTTCCCTAAATATTTCAAAATGTATTTATCAGAGAAAATAAGCTTTCTAAACATGTTGAGCATGGGTAAAGCAAACTGTTAAGGACACGCAGCTTTGTATGGTTCTGTTTTCATTGCATTTCCCCTTTTGTTGACAGCAAGAGGATTCTCTTTCTGAGGTAACAGTGGAAGATTCTGGTGAAAGCTTGGAAGATCTCATGGCCAAGATGAAGAACATGTAGATCATGGACTAGCATTTGGTTTATTTTCTGTACTTATTTTATCCCCTTGGTATTAAAATAATTAAAACTAATAAAACTTAGGGCCGCCTTAACTGGCCTGTGGATCTTTCCTGAGTTATCATGCTGTATGGAACACTAGTGGTTGCTTCTTGCTTCCCTCGACAGCTGAATTGGTAATGCTCCCACAGAAAGGAGAGGGGAGGCCAATCCTATTCCATAATTTCCTTTACAGTAATTAATTCCTTGTCTATGGACTGAGGCCCTGGACTGTAAGTAGTGCAGATGGAGGTTGGGATGTTTAGCCTGGCGGCTGTGGCCAGCAAGTGTCTTGAGTGTCGATAGCTTCCTACCAGTTACCCACTACTACTAATCTGACCAGGAGTGACTTCACACAGTCAGCCTATAGAATAAAACGTCCCTTCAGATGTTTCTCAGTGAGATATGTCTTCTTCATTGGCAGTGTGTGAACCTGTGAGTTAAATATTTAAGACAAAGCATAGATAATTGCAAGCTGTCTTTGTGGACAGACAAGTACGTTCAAGAAAAAATATCAATTGTTTTCTAATTTTCACTGACCAAAAGGTATTGCCTTCTGGAACAGAAATGCCTGGAGCCGCCATGTTACTGAATAACATGTACAAGTGCCATACATCATATAGACTGTGAGCATCATATAGACTGTGTGCATCAGAGACTGTGTGCATCAGAGACTGTGTACATCATAGAGACTACATCATAGAGACTACATCATAGAGACTGCATCAAAGACTGCATCCTAGAAACTACACCATAGAGACTATATCATTTAGTCTGTGTACATCAAAGACTACATCATAGAGACTGTACATCATAGAGACTGCATCATAGAGACTGTGTACATAAAAGACTATGCATCATAGAGACACTGCATCATAGAGACTGTGTACATCATAGAGACTGTACATCAAAGGGACTGTGTATATCATATAGGCTGCTCCTGAATACTTCAGCTTGATTCCCTAAACAGATATTAGCAAGGCTTGTCCTGAGTAGTGGGCAAAATGAACTCGAAATTGCCTTTTAATGAATGACAGGTATTTGTTCCCTGGAAGGGGTTCCATTTCCAACTGTGACCACTTAAATTGTAAACTGATGACTGATGTGAATTGATGATTTTTACCTTGAAGATAATTGAATCTGTAAATGTCTAAATTGTGTGTGTTGGGAAATGTTAACAAAAGTTTAAAGTATCATTCCTTATTTCTAAAATAAAGTTGTAAAGACCAACTCTAGGCATCAGTTTAATGTACTAACTTTGAGATTCTAGGACTAAATGTGATTTTTTTCATGTTTATTGTGAAGTCAGGAAGAGAGTATGGCTAACTTTGAAACTTAACATTTATATTACCTTGGTAAATTTTTATAAATATTTTCACAGAACTTAGCATATTAGATTGGAGAATAACTTTTCAAATTGCTAGACATGTTTTAAATTTTTAAAATGAAATTTATTTTCAGAATATTTAGAAATAGTGGCCCATGAATTCTCTAAGGTTAACTTGAAATTGTTTAGCTTTCAGGTTTGGTTAAGGCACAGTGCCTAGCATAGCACCCGCCATCTCCTACAGATCTGCTCTTTCTGCTTCTTAGGCTGCACCAGATTCTAATGTGTCTCACTTTGCTAATACCTTTCATTAGAAACTACTGGATTATCATCTCAAAAATAAGTAAAAATAAAATACAGCAGTAGGCACCAATTGATCCCATATTGTTCATCCCATATCTGTAGCCACAGATACTTAAGAGGGGTAGCAGGCAGTGGATGAGAATTAACACAGTGAATTGTGAATTACCACAGAGGTTTGGCCAGATTTGTAAATACTCTGAATCCTAATGAGACAGGCGAGCGGTCCCAGTATCGTCTTAACACCCAGAGTCTGGACGTAGTAAAGCCGTTTATCACTTTGTTTCTTGTTGTTAGTAGAATGGTAATCTGTGGTTCCGCTCAGGTTTTGGTATTTTCTCATGAAAATACTCGCTGACACCCACAAATGTGAGCCAAAAGGAAAAGGCAGTAGCTCTGAGACTTTGTCAGAGAAGCTTTGATTGCCTCAGATCACAGTTTTGCTTTTCCTGTTTCCCTTTCTGTAAAGTACTGAGGATAAGTTATAGCAAAACTTGGTTCCTACCAATTGTTTATGAGGGACTGGTCTGAAAATTACCATTGCTGTGGAGGTGTATGTTAATGACATGATCCGAGACTCACATCTATGTTAGTGTGATCTGTGAATCAAATACGTTAGTGTGAACATGATCCGAGACTCACATGTATGTTAGTGTGAATCTGTGAATCAAATATGTTAGTGTGAACATGATCCGAGACTCACATGTATGTTAGTGTGATCTGTGAATCAAATATGTTAGTGTGAACATGATCCGAGACTCACATCTATGTTAGTGTGAACATAATCTTACTGTTCAGATTGCAGATCTACACAAATGTTTGTTGTAGTTTTATCTTAGGCATTCTCATGAAAGCAAAAAATATTGCTAGTAAATAATGAGATAAAAATAGTAGATAAAATAATTTTATTACATACTTAATTTGAAATATATATATGAGTGACCACCTCAGTTATAATGTGTTCCATAAAGTCACTTTAGGTTTTTTAAAAATTTCTTTAATTTTTTATTTGCATTGGTGTGAAGGTGTCAGATCCCCTGAAATTGGAGTTACAGATAGCTGTGAGCTGCCATGTGGATGCTGGGAATTGAACCCCAGGCCTTTGGAAGAGTAGTCAGCGCTCTTACCCACTAGGCCATCTCTCCAGCCCCAACACTTCAGAGTTATCAAATCTAAACTTTGGAAGATCAAAGGATATTATGCTTTTTTGAAGATTCTTTTAGAGTACTGATCACAGATTACTGAAGTTGTTTGAAGGTGGTAAATATGATACTTTTAGTGTATTAAATAAATCATGAAATAATCAGATTTTAAGCTTTGATAAATTAGTTTTAAGATCAATATCTGTGAATTCAATTATTTTCACCTTTCACAGGGGCAAACCACAAAAGATAAGTCATACTTATATTTTAGCTTTTTCCTCCTGAACCTTGAGCCTTTTCTGTGCATCCCTGTCTAGTTTAAGTCGCCATAATGGTGTCTAGATTTTAGTGGTGCTTCTGAAGCTCACAGGCTCAGGAGTCACCTGGCCACCTAGCTCTCAGGCTGCCTCTTAGTGGCTCAGGGCGAGCCTTGCAGTCTGACTGTCAGTTCTGGATGGCAATGGCGCTGGCCCAGCCTGCGCTCACCACAGTTCTTCAACTTGATCAAAGTACCAAGTAAACTTGGCCAATATTCAAGTCTGCTAAAACATGTTCAATGTTTATTTTTAAATAATTGTGCAAAGTGTAGCCCTTTAGTACAGAGTGCAAAAAAGAGAAATTAGCAATTGTACTTTTATTTTAAAACAATGGAATACAATTTCTGTGTCATCTTCATAATAATACATATTGAGATCTTACAAAATTTTTAATTGATGAAAATTTTACTATAAATATACAAATAAAAACTAATGTGGCAATATTTATAAAAATCTATAAAAATATTTAATTTCAGTATAAAAGTGACAGCTAATTGACTGAGGTATAGCAAGATTGATTTAGACCACTTAAGGAAAGAGAACTGTCATGACTTCTTTTTGTGTGTTGAGGACTACACTCAGGGTCTGATGCATGCCACCACTATGTCCCCAGCTCTACTTTTTTATTTTGTGACAAGGTCTCACTAAGTTGCCCAGGCTGGCCTTGAACTCACTCTAAGCTGGCCCTGTCTGTCCTTGAGAACTCCGAGGCCTGTGAGCAGCTGGGAGTCGGGCCTGGCCTGTGCCACAGTGAGATCAGAGTGGTACAGAGCCTGTGGTTGCCCTCAGACACGGCAGTGCGGCACATTGCTAAGCTTCCCTGGAGACAGCGCAGAAAGCAAGGGCTGACTAAAGCAGCTTAGCAGAAAGGAAGACTGGAAAGCAAAGCCAGGCATGCACTTGTGATCCCAGCACCCAGGAGGCCAAGGAGGGATGATCAACCTGAGCTGCACAGACCCACACACCCAGTAAGAGGCTGGGGAGATACTCAGTTGGTGAAGCGTTTGCCATGGGAGCATAAGGACCTAAGTTCAATACCAGAATCCCCTTTAGAAAGCTGGGCATAGGGATGGAGGAATGTAGTCCTGTCTCGGGAGGTGGAGACAGGTGGTTAGGTTACCAGGATTCAGGCAGGCCAGTCCGCCTAGCTAAGTGAGCGAGCACCAGGTCACTGAGACACTGTCTCAAAAACAAAAAACAACAAAAAAAACAAGGCTGACCTCTGATCTCCACATGTACAGGTACATGTGTGTGCATATTCTCACAAACCCAGAAAAAGAAAAACAAGAATTCCCACCTAGTTGGTTTCTCTGAAGACTGTTCAGATCTTTCATAAATATCCCTTTAGCCCTTGGGCATTGTTTGAGGTAGAGGACAGGGTCAGAGCCCTGCTGGGGACACCACCAGTGACTGGCAGGCAGGCTAATCATGGAATTCCTAAACCCCGGGCTCCTGCCAGCTCTTGTTCAGAGACAACCCACTCCTCAAGTCATTAGAGTGCTGATTTCTACACCCTGGATCTCATCCCATGGGAAATGGATTCTTTAATCAAATCGGACACAATAATTCATTATAATTCAATACAACCTCATACAAATACCAGTTAAATAAGTAGGAAAAATGATTTTCTTTAAAAATACTGTTTTGAATTCAAACGCTCCAGATGTCTGTTTTATCCTGAGGTATTCCTGCAGAAAACTGGAGCTGTTACCTTTGTCCTTGGGGAAGGAAAATATTAGGTGAATGAGTTGCTTTAAAGATAAACGTGTCCCCACTTGACGACTGCCTTGAAGGAGCTTTTCCACCCAGAAGTGATGCCTCTGCTTCTTTTATCTCCATTGCCCTTTTGTACAGTTCAGCAGCCTTTTCAAAATTCCCTTCTTCATAGCTTTCAAAGAAAAAGACACAAGAAATAGGCTTATTATCAGGAAGCAGCTCTCCTTTCTAAATAGCCATCCTAGACACAGAAAACTACATTGCAAATAATTTCCCATTCCCATTGCACTTTCTTTCTCCTCGTGTATGCATGCGTGTTCACTCAGGTAGACCAGTTAGCCAGAGTTCCCAAACTCACCTATATCTACACTGGGGAATTCTGTCTCTTGTATGTGCACCATTAAAATCATGTTGTAATGGTGTAATGGTAACAAGTGTTGTTGTCATCTGTGTCCCGAGGTGAACACACAGGAGTGAGCTAAACTCAGCACACTTACCTCATCAGCTCTGACGTAAGTGGCCCTATCAGGCCAGAGGCAGTAGCCGGATAAGCCATCTTCACTAGTGGCCACGATACACGAAAAGTAAGCCCACCTCACCCTGATTCTGAGTATCACTTGAGTATCTAAAGCTACATGAGACCAAAACAACTAGTTCTCTCTCCAAGAAAGACTTCTCAGCAATGAATATTTCATGCTGTCCTGTGACAAGTCAAAACTATTCAAGAACTGGGATAAATGAGAAGCCAGGAAAGTTCTTACCTGAGCACAGCTAAGTTTTTTAATGTTTCTCCAACCCGAGGATGCATCCGCCCCAAGCTATCTTCATAGATCTTCAGTGCTCTTTCATAAAGTGGCAGGGCTTCACTGTGCTTTTTCTTATTAAAAAAAATAGTGCTCGCTTAAACATACTGTTTATGAAATTACTATTAATGTATTCTATACTGAGCTGACCTACTTTGGTCAGCATTTTAAAAATCTTAATATCCTCCTATGAGATGCAAGTAAGCATTATTTTATGACCAGTTTTAACTGGAGAATCGGTACACAAGAAAGTCAAAACTCATTTAAGTCCTGGTACCAATTAACCTGAATCCGTGATGTAAGCACAAGCCTGCTCGTGACCCAGCAGGTACTTAGGCAGATGCTCAGAGACTGTCCTGTGGGTGACAGGGGTCCCCAGAAGGTGAAAAGCAAACCTGAACCCAGCAGTCAGCTGGTGTTTAGCTGAGACCAGCTTACAATTCTAACTTCAGTAATGTTTGAGGTATTTAAAAGAGAAGCATTAAATGGTAAAAAGCATTATTTTCTTTACTGTGCCATTAACTCGCATATATATATATTACCTTCAGATCATTCATTTGTAAACAGCTGAAAATGTAGATGCTTACCATTTGGCTGTGAAGGACTGCCAAGTTCACCAAGGCAGTAGCGACACTGGGGTGCTTTGAGCCAAAGGAT